CTCGAACACCGGCGCGTTGTCGTTCACGTCCGACACCTCCAGCACCAACTCCGCCGCGCTCGAGAGCGCCGGGCTGCCCCGGTCCCTTGCAGTGATGGTGATATTGTAAGCGGACACTGCTTCTCTGTCCAGGGCACTGGCTATTATTAGTTTATAGGTGTTCTCTGACGACATTTCCAATCTGAAAGGCAGATTTCCGTCCATGTTACAGTTTACTTCTCCGTTTTCTCCCGAGTCTCTGTCACGAACATTGATCACAGCTATAACTGTACTCGGGACTGAGTCTTCGGGTATCGGGTTCAAGATAGGCAGGAGAGAAAGGGTTGGTACATTGTCATTTACGTCTAGAATGTCTATGTGTACTTTGGCTTGCGCAGTGAGTCCACCCCCATCCTTGCCTTCAAGAGTCGCTTCATAATATTTCCCTTCTTCATAATCTAAGGGGCCTGTAACCTTCACATCCCCTGTCCTGGGGTCCAGAGAGAAGAGCTGGCGAGCACTGTCTGCGATGTCACTGAAAGAGTAAGTAATTTCTGCATTTGTACCTTCGTCACTGTCAGTGGCTTTCACCTGAAAAGCTAAGGAGCCCTCTGGCAGGTTTTCCATCAGTCGAACCTTGTAGATCTCTTTGGTGAATACTGGTGGGTTGTCATTTGCGTCTGTCACGTTAATCTTAATCTGGGCTGTCCCGGATCGGACCGGATCCCCGCCATCCAGTGCCGTCAGTATCAAATGGTGATTTCTCTGTTTTTCTCGGTCTAAGTTTTTCTCCAGTACCAGTTCCGCGTGTTTCGTCCCGTCAGGGCTCTCCCTCACTAAGAGTGAGAAGAGTGGATTGGGGGTAAGCTCGTACTTCTGTAAAGAGTTTGCCCCGATGTCGGGGTCTCTGCCACTGCCCAGTGCGAATCTGCTCCCAGGAGGCGTCGACTCGATGATTTCTATGGTAACAAATTCTTTGTTAAACCGCGGCGCGTTGTCATTGATATCCTGGATAGTAACGCTCACAGGAAACATGTCGAAAGGGTTCTCCATGACTGCCTCCAAGCGGAGGACACAGGGCGACACGGCCCCGCAGATGCCCTCTCGGTCGATCCTCTCGTTTACCCGCAGATTTGTATTACCTTCCCCGAGAGTGAAGTACTGCTTTTCGTCACCAGCGACTATCCGCAGCTTGCGCGCCGGCAGCTCGTCGGCGCTGAGCCCCAGGTCCCGGGCCAGCGGCCCCACCAGCGAGCCTCTGGGCAGCTCCTCGGCCATGGAGTAGCGCAGCCGCTCCGCCGCCGCCCGCCAGCACAGCGGCAGGAGCACGGCCAGCAACGCGACCCACCCGGCGGCTGCCCAGCCTTGGGCTGCCGGTCCGACCTTCATTCTGCGGACGACTGTAGATTAGGCTTTCCGAGCAGCTATACCGGTATCCGAGAGAAATAAATGTACGAAATCCCTGTTTTGGTCGGAGCACGGCTGAGTCGAGCGGTTCCTGCCTTTCTCCCTGCTCTGCGCTGTGCGGAGCAGCAGTGAGCGGGCGCCTGGGAGGAGCCGACGGCGGAGCTGCTTCTCCACCTTGGCCAACAGTGACACCCTGAGTCCATGTCTGAGAACGGCAGCGTCCGAGAGAAAGAACAGCTCGAAGGTCCTGCTCTGCGAGTCCTTCAGTTAGTACGGACTGGAAAATAAATAGGTAATCGGTAACGCGAAACAGAAAACTTCTCTTTGTGGTGAAGGGGTGCATCTAGGAATTCCCATTGTCTGAATTCCTTACACTTCTGGCGGACGAATCCTCCCCCGTTGCTTGAAGGATGCGCAGCAGGACCTTGATTTCTTCCCTGCTGTGATCTTACTGATCTCTTCAGTGGGGCGCGGGGTGTTCCCGCTGCCATCTCTCACCGCGGTGAGAGAAAAGGCAGGACAGAGCGAACGTTGAGGCACTGCTCGAGGGTAGTGGGTTTATTTCTGATAGCTGAGAGATGCACAGCCAGCACTGTTTTCCCGCTTTGAACAGATTTACTGATTTCCAAGCAAAGCCAGGAATTCCAGCCATTGAGAGAATCACAGCGGTCACACCAGATCTGAGCCTATCTCTTTCGACTTTCAAAGCCCAGTATCATCATATCAGTACCATACAAACCAACACCGAATTCCTTTCATCTGTCTCCCACAAACCACGGTCGATACTGTAGCTGGTCTCCAAATGTAAGAATATTTTCTGGGAAATGTTCATGGCGGTTACTGTTGCTTAAACAATCAAAAGAAAACAGACAGATCCCCGACGGAAAACTGTTGTACCTCACCTGTAAATTAGAACCTCGCCTCTCTTACAGCAGAGAAAAAAACAAACCCACAAATAAACAAAAAAACCTAACAACCAAAAATCCTGAGGGAAGGCTGTGTCATCACAGCCCCTTACGCAGAAGACAAGGAGAGATTAGAAAACTCTCCACTTACTCGGTGGACTTGCTCTTGCACATACACCAACGCTGCGTCTCTGCAGATGCCAATGTCAAGACCTTCTCAGAAAGGTATATTTAGAAAATATGTTTTCCTGCTAACTTTGGCAGTTCAACCCGTGAAGAATAATTCCCTTTCCTCCAGCTGCACCTGTGCACAGCTCACGGTAACGAATTAATAACCTTTCAGAACACGAAGTGGATTTGAATTTGTAGCGTTTCAGAAGCCAAGAGATAGAAATACGGTGAACATCTCTATATGAGGTCTATATAAGTTTGCTGCAACCTGTCACCGTCAATTCACTACCTCCTTTATGGCGACAATCGCCCATGGCAACCCGGACACACATATTCATGCATCTTCACACGCCGAGGTACCCTCCAAATCGCTGTTTTCCAGATTACCTCCCATTCAGAAATTAGCTACACTATAAGGAGATAGTGACGAATCGTACTTTGTTTTTAAACACTTTAAAAATGTATATTCTAGGAAATATACTCTATTTCAATGACTACGCCTGTACAGTAATGGACAAATACATTTGTATTGAACCCAAAAGTTAAGCCTAGCAGCGGGAAAAAAAGCTCAGTGCGCTATCAGAGGAATTCTGCACCATCTAACACGAACCTTTTCATAAAATTTCGAGTGCCCTTAAGTGGGATTGACTAATTCGTTTGTTGAAGGCAGATTTCGAAGAAACCTGGGACTTCAAAGGTGTCGGCTTTTAAGCTACAAGGTTGTCCACTTCTACCAGAATTTGAGAGCTGATACAGAGATTACAATGAAATGCTGGGAACTGGGTATTAGCAAGTACTTTAAAAATTCGAAGAAGTGACAGAAGAAGACAAGAAGAAGAGTTTTCCTTGTGAAGTTGCACATGCAACGGAATCTTTCAACCTTTGGAAAGCTAGGTAAAATGAGCTCTGGCAGGCAGTAGAGAACAGGACACATAAAACAAACACAGCCGACTCAGACACGTTCAGTAGGTGACGTTCACGGGCTGGTGACCGTCTTAAAACGTGATTTCCAAGACTGTGAGCGGTGCACTGTGAAATGCCTGTGGCTACGCTAAGAATCCTAAACACAAAATAAAGTTAAAAAACCAACGTACCTGAGAGGATGCTTGCCCACCGCTATCGGCAACTTGATCTGAAGTGACAAGATCATCGGAAGCCGGATGATCAGAAGCTGTTGATCGG